TTCAGCCAGGTTTTTGCTTCTCCTGTTTGATTTCCTAGAGTGCTAATGGTTGGTTGAGTATAAATAACATGATGATGAGATGTTAAATGGAAAAAAAAAAAGGGAGATGTGTAATATAGGAAATCTATAGATCTTTTAGGAAGAGGCGTGAGAGCGTGAGAAAAATAATAAAAAAAAATTGGAAGGAAGAATGCATGACAGAGATTTTGACAGCGCTTTCCGAAGCAGGAAATCCTTTTGCTTAATATGTTTAAATTTTCCAAACATTAAGCAAAACATACAGATCCCCACAGGAGAACTTTTCAGGATGACAGAATAAACATCTACACAACTAAAGTATTTGACATTTATTGACATTTTAGGTGGCTTATTTAGAACCATGAGCTTAGAAATAGGAAGTTAAAGATATTTTCAAGTCTCATTAAACTTTACATCTTGCTTTTGAGCAATTGAGACCCGCAAAGCGTTCACGCGTACGTATTTCTCTAGGTGTTTTTCACAGACATCGGTAAGAGGGATGACTGATTTTTGTAGTGAAGGGTTTATCCTGGAAAAAGGAAAGGTGTCAGTGCATTTAAAAGTGTCTCTTAGAAGTTTTTTTCCTTCTTTCTTTCTAAGCAAACCTTTAAAACCAAGAGCGGAAAAGTTAACAGCTTTCAGAAAGAAAGACTAGCATAGTTCATGTAATTTGTTTAAATTTAAAATAATGATGGAGAGGGATTTGGAGAAAACAAATGTAAATATTGTTTAGTGCATCACTGGAAGTTTTTAGCCTTAGCTACCACATGTAAAGAATCTTATTTTCCATCCCGTACTGAGACAGTTTGGAAAGTGTCCGCCAGGACACAGACTGCCGGTTTGATGTGTAAAATAAATAATATGTGTTTGTGTGTATGTGTGTGTGTATTTTATATAAACACACACACACACATGCACGCACAGACACACTCACCCCATTTTACATGTTCACAAGTGGGTGAAATGCAGCATTTAGCCAAGGACCTCATTGCTGTATGAGGTTTCCCAAGGCCTGGTAGGGTCTGTAAATGAGCAGCCATCCCCTCTCCAAAATGCTGCGCAGTGACAGGCCGCGTGAGTCACGGTTCATCTTTGGAGTGCACAGAAAAAGAATGAGTAATCGTTTTGTTTAACTTTCAATAAGTATGAAATATTTCATGGGAGCCAAAAAATCTTGGAAAAGCAGAAAGTCATTCTTAAATTTCTGGTCATAATAGAAGCATTGTCACGTCGTGGCACTTCTTTCTTAAAATGAAGAGCTTGTTCAGGTCGCAGAACGTTTCATTCATAAGTGTGTGAGTTGAGCATAAAGGATAGTACTTTTGGAAGAATTTAAACTAGTAATTAAAAATTAAGTAACTGTAATTATCTGCCTCTGTTTTAATAAGTGCAATTTGTCTTTGAAGTAAGTACCTAGTGGAAAAGATCTACCTCCACACTTATAGTCTAACGAAATGATTATATGAAGAGTGAAAGTATTATGAAGTGTTATATGTTGTCAGCAAGGTGCCTTTTTGTAGCCAGTTTGTATTTCAGTTTCTTAACATTTTAGTTGTTGAAACCATTATGTGTGTGTAGATACTGATTGCATGGTGCTTGTAAGGCGGAAAAGAGTGCTGTTTGGGGAAAAATACTCTTTTCTCTCTCCCTTCCCCCACCCCCGGATGAAAATGACAGTTTGTGTGGGTTTTTTTTTTTTTCCTAAGGAGAAATATTCTGATTAGAAAATTGCCATTGTTTTTGTGACTTGAATCCTTAAAGTAGAAGTGTGTTTTAAAATAACAGCTCATATGATGGCTGTATTTTTCTGGGTTAACTGATTTTTTTCACTTAAAAATTTTCTTTTCAGTTGGAAAAATGTTTTAAATTATAGCCATTAAAAAAAATTGTTTCTAGCAAGCAAAAATACTGTGGAAAACCTGTAATTCAGACAAGCACCTACATTTTATTTGCTCTGTGCTGCTGAAATTTAGAATCCCTCCCCATTTACAGTTTACTTTTCACAGAACATTATTAACTTTTTGGCTTCATACATGGTCTTCTGTCAGATGCTTTTGATTTGTAATTTAGCAAAGTATAATAAACAGTGCAAAAGTCATGAATTTTCCTCTGCATCCTGAGCTCTGTGGTAGGGAAAATGTGATAAAATGTGTACCTTAAGTCTTGTTTGATGATCTCTCAAAGCAAGTTTGCCTTCTGGAAATAATTTCTGGGGTTGAAGAGCATGGTATTAACAGATTTAATGTGGCTATTCAATGGATTGGTGGAGTACTATGTGAGGTTTAACAAAATGAGAGAGACAAATTGAACATCAACAAAACCTACATCTGTGAAGAATTATAAATTTAATTAGGAAAAAGGCAAACTTAAAAGACCTCATTAACTAATCAGAATTTGATGTTACTGATTTAAGATTCTTACGTGGATGAATTTTAAGTAGCTTTGCTGTCATTGTCCTTTTTTTTTTTTTTCTGGTCATACACTATCTAGTGCCAATACCTACAGATCATATTAAAGAGAAAGCTGCGAATGTTACTTGGAGCAATCAAATTATGCAAAGTCATATTTCTGATGTATTAAGAAGAATGTGTACATCATTTATCATTTAAGGCATTTTTAGTTTAAGCAGAGTGCAGAGTATCAAGTGTGAGTGACAGCCACATTTTTGTCTTTTTAATTTTTTTTTCTTATGCATCCCTTTGACTGGGCGGGTAAGGCCACTGCCTTTTTTTCTCTTTGTGTTTGATATGTGAGTTATGTTGCAGAACTTCAATTATCCAGAAATCTGTTGGCAAAATAGGAGGATGTATGAGAACAAGCGCACGCCACCCAGAAATGTTTTTGTTCGATGAACTAGTCGTCATAAGTGTGGTTCCTTACTACATTGTAATTTTGTACTACACATAAAAAACTGAAAGCATGTGAAGTGTAGCATTTTGTAAACTGTAACTAATTTCACTCACATCTGTGTCTAATTGTTGTCTGCATTCGCATTCTTGAGAGTAGATTTATTTTTCCTGGACCACTATGTGGATTCAGCTGACCAGCCTAAGTGAGGATTAGTTGTTTTAAAGTTATTTTGATTAAAGAGTCATTTTTAAATATGGTAACGTGCAACACATGGTTTAAATAATCCTTGAGACACAAAGGAATATATCTAAAGTATGTCTAATGAAAATGAAGATTGTGGATATGAACTTTCACAAATCATAGAGTGTAAAAGGACGTATAAGGTATATATTTAATTCACTAGGAATGAGCTGGATTTTTTTCTGCCCTCTGCCATGAATCCTTGAATTAAATCTCTCTCACTATACACATATACACACATGCACGGGCACATACATAAACATGTCTATGTGTTACTACTTTTTTAATTTGGGTAGATAAAATAGTGAGGATTAAATGCATTTTAGAGTTTGGTGAAGTGTGAATAATACTAAAGGGTACTTTGGAAAATGTCAGTTAATTGAACTATATAGTTGAAAAAGGAAGCTTTTTATATTATAAGATATGTTTTAAATGATCCTGTGCAAGAGAGAGTGAAGATAGCTCTGTAAGCAAACTTAGTTCTCACCTATAATTTTTTCCAGGTGTTTAGAAGTAACAGCAGAAACATTTCCTAAGGCACTCTGCTGCAGTTTCTGGGGTAAAGAATTGAAGAAAAAAAAACTTACAACTGATTAAAAAGAAAAAAAAACAACCAAAGTGCACAGTTCTGAGCATATCTGCTCCTCTGGTTTGATTTGGCATGCTACGATGTATTGAAAAGCACGTTATGCAGTACTTTAAGTACTCAGTTGTAAAAAGAGTGATGTTTTTCAGCATGCGTTATTGCATGCTTCTTGACATCATTTGTAATGTTATGCATTGTCTGGCTTCCCCTAGCAGTTGTTTACTCTTGCTGGTAGTAATTCTGTCTGTGATTAAAAATAACAAAAAAACTACAGACACATAAGTAGGATTTGCTTGGATGATTTTTATGGCACTTAAAATGCCTCATCTCTCTTGTCTTTGCTCTGTGATCGTTTAAGAGATGTCAGTTCAGGTTGAATGGAAACACACATGAAAGATTCTCAGTGTGGACATTAAGAGGATATATACCTTGCCTGGAGAGGCTTGTGTGCGCTTTTAAGCGAACAGTGCATCTTCACCTGAGTTTTATCACCTGCTGACAATCCTTGCAGGCCGCAGAGAAGAGTCTGTTTAATCAAAGCAAATACAGCAGTGTTTTGCTGAAAGGATAAGAAAGTCTCTTACAACTCCTCCTGTAACTCAGGTGGGTTTTTGTCACACTGGGAAATTATTCCTGGGTTTCCCGATGGAACCAGATGCCTTTTTTGGTGAGTTAGCTCGGAGGGAAACGGTGTCGCTTCCTCCTGCCTATTTAACCAGAAGTGTTCGCTCGAGTCGTTTTATCAGAAATCGCGTTAGGGGCCGGAGTTGCTGCCGGGCGGCCTTCGCGCGGCCGCGGCCGCTCCGCACCCCTCGCGCGGCCGGCTGGCAGGCGGG